TGTTTGTATCGAAAATTTGTGAGTGATCCATGCAGTGCCAATTTTTTTTAGCAACTTTTGAATTCTGGATGTATGGAGCATGTGGATTTTGCAACAGATGATACTGCTGATGATGGTAGTTTTGAAGAGCTCGGCGATACGAATTCGGAACTGATCTCACGAATTTCCGTCCGTGATATTACTGAAGAGGATACTAAAAGCACAGAGGTAAATTCCATACTTTTTTGCTTTATCAGTATTACCGATAAAATCGTGGGGGCTGGACCAAGCCAGTATTGAAATCGTTGGCTCTCAAATATTTATGAACGCCGACTCGTGCTGTAACGAAACTGGAACTCGTCAATTTTTTTTGGTGTGATACTGTTCTTTCAATCTTTTATACCTCAAATCCTATCTTATTCCTTTTCTGTTATAGCATGATTATGAGTGCAAGTCGGACCAGGAATTGTATGAAATTGTCCGGAAACATAATGTTGATATGCTTCGTGCTGTGGCATTTGCAATTACTATACTGAGTAGGCGTTATGGGAAGGGCTATATCATCGATGGAGGTAAGTTCTATCCCGAGACCACCATAGGTCAACTGTTGTTTCGTCTCAGCGTACCTCTGTGCAGTTAGCACAGCGGAAGCTGTTCTATTGATAATCAGCTTCTTGATCGCCGTTTTTCAGCATTCCCTTTTATTTGTCCGAGAAAAGTGTTAGATCTGTCAAATTTCCTGTGTCGTCTGCGTTTTCTTTTAGCTTACCTCGTAGAAAATAGAAACCATCAAATGTGAAGGTTAGTTTTATAGGTGGGCACCTTATACACGAGTACGGCTGCTCTAGCGTCATTCAGAAAACATTCATGGACTTTTCAAAATAATTTCTTTATGAAAAGCGCATCTACCTCATTGCGTGTGTCCTTTATATTTTTCAGAAAGCCTGGAGACACGTATGGAGCGTGTTTATCGGCAGGCATGCGCTTGGCGTCTGTGGTGGCTCGTACGCTACTGTGCTGCAAAGCTTTGCAAAGTGATGAATTCGTTAGCACCAGGCATAACAAATATGCTTGTTAGAGGCAAGCAGGTACCAGCAGTTTTTCGAACGATTTCTCTTTCTGCATTCCTTCCCCAGGATAATGAGGTGCTTGATTTCGACAGGTCACTCTGGGCGTGAGTGGTTGTCGCGAAGTGACAATATCTGCGCCAACGACTCCAGTCGAAATTGAAGAAATCCTGTTCAGTTCTTGTCCAGAAAGCGAACCACAAGCAGCTGTACTGCAGCAGGAGCTTATTATTGCTTGCTCCGATTTGGTACGCTAACTTTGTTGATTACAGAGAACTGGATCGGGGGCGTTGATCTAAAGGAATATCATCACTTGATACCGAGGACAGAATACTGTAATCGAACTAGGGTTCTGATGGGGAAGTAATTTGTGCTGCCCGTTAGGGATTGCTGTCTGTGTTAACGTTTAGCAGGTGACAGAAACGATTTGGAATTAATGATTTTTCAGATTGCTCAGAAGCCGTATGCATTTGATGGTGTTTTAACAATACGATTGTCCTGGCTGGCCGATGCAATATCGTTAATGCTGAATTACGTTCAAAGTACGGGAACCGCTCGGAAGGGCTCTTTTGCAGGGAAGCTCAGTGTGTCTGTAAATCCATCAGCAACAACAGCAGGAACAACAAACACTGCCGCGAGTGAGCTTTTCTTAATCTTTGTATGTTTATAACTTTTTTTTTATGCGTTTCATGCCGTGCGGTAGCTACGCAAGACGCAAATCCTCACGCCTCTGCCTATGTGTGTGTGTGTCCCCGAGTACATTTTGGCCGCACTTTTCAACTCAAGGACCACAAAAGCTAGGAAGCTGAAATTGTGGGAGAATTCCGTGCTTACCTACGACACCGCTCTTTTAAATTCGGTCCCACGTACGCCTAGTCTTTACGTGTGATCGCGCAAAAGTTCCGGCGCTAAAATTAATAACTTGGGGCTATAAAAGCTTGGAATTAAAGAGGAAGCTATGTGCCTATAATGCGACACAAAAGGTTTTGAATTCAGCTTCCACATACACCTACATTCCACATAAAAGCGCATACGCTTTGGCGAAAAATTACCTAACCCCGAAACCAGACCTGCCTAAAAACAGAAATTTCAAGAGGATGTTTCCTGCCTGTGTATGACTCCGGAAATTTTAGATTTAGCTTCCAATATGCCGAGATCTCACTTACGGTTTTGGTCCAACATGAACATTCTGACGATTTCTGCACATAACAGTCAAGCAAAGCAGTGAACATTTTTAAAAGCAAACGTTTGCTAGGCAGAACTGTGCAGTATGCATGATCGCACCAGCTGCCCTGATGCGTTTTGCTGTTTATTGTTTTTGTCTTTTGTTATGCGTTTTGTGCTCTGCAAAAGCTGCACAATACGCATATTGTCTCAGGGTTGTCTGTGTGTGTTCGATGAATTTGTCCGCAACTTATAATTCGGGGTCTACAAAAGCTAGGAAGCTGGAAATTCAGGGCTATTTCCCCCGCCCACGTGGGGCCTCACAAATTTAAATTCAGCCTTCCCGTGTCCGCGGGTAAAACGTGCAAACCCGTGAAAATTTTGGCAGGGATATTATTATCTCGGAAACCATAAAAGCCAGGAAACTGAAATTTTACGGTGTTGTCCCCTGCTCGTATACAATCTCGCAAATTTAGATTCAGCCCTCCCGCGTGCCCGGGTGTCATTTACGGCCTTGTGAAATTTTCGGTGAGGAAAACTGTTGTCTCGGGAACCACGAATGTTAGGAATTTAAAATTTTAGGATAATGTTCCCTACCAACATGCGACCCCCCAAGTTTGGGTCCAGCCTTCACACACTCCTGGGTTCCACATGAGGCGTCATGGAAGTTTTGGCAGGAGAAATATTATCTCGTGTTGCAGAAACTAGGAGGCTGAAATTTTTCAGTAATTTCCCCTGCTGAGTTACAACCTCGCAAGTTTGAGTTCAGCCTTCCCCTTTGGGTATTACTTGCGACTCCGTGAAAGTTTTGACAGGGAAAATTATTATCTCAGGAGTCAGAGGAGTTAGGAAGGTGAGAAAAAAAGTTTCAAAAAGATGTTCCCTGTCTAAGCAAGGCTTTACAAGTTCGAATTCAGTTCCTAATTATGCCGAGGTCTTACGTACAACCACGTGAAAGATTTGTCGTAAAAAT